TCACTGATTACCTGCATCAATTTCAGCTTGTTCGTATTTACTTGTATATCTCTTCTCATAGCTGTTCCAAACGCATTAATCTTCAGAGTTGTGTTTGCCAATATCCTTTCTTAGCCGATTCAGCTCATCTCGTATAATACCAGTTGTAAAATGGTTCCTTCGACCATCTTCGGCCTTTGTATCGTACCCGATTAGTCTTCTCGTCTATTGATACCTTTTGTCACAGTGTTTATGACGCTTTGTACCTTCTTGACCTGCGCATCCCAATTTCATGGGCCTACTGTACTTGCTGTTAGAATGTTTCACTGTCCGCTCGCATTGTTTGAACATTGCCATTCTATTGAGTATGTGCTTGATACTGTATATGTTGCAGATTTTTGAAATGTAAAATATATTGCTTGATAACTTACAACGTATAATAATTTTGGCACCAAAATGTCCGACGTTGTCGTGAATATATTTGCAGAATGTATTTGAAATTATCCAAGCTTTTTTTGTTGTCGGTATAATTTATTATTTTTTCATTTGTTTTGTCGTGGGTGACTAGGTTGATGAGAATATTTCGAATCCGTGACAATTGCTCACCCTGAAGGTGTGCCACGATAATCCAACAGCATTTGTGAAAATGGCTACCTTAAGGGTGGTCGGTATAGTATTTTGGCTAAGTGCAAGATTTCGAAGGTATATTCTTGCATTTTCAGCTACCATTGATTTCTACCTGGCAATAAATTTTTCTTTGAACGATTTCAAGTTGTATTCCTAGTAGGTATAACAATAACGGAGCTAACGTTTCCGGGGCCAGAAGCTAAGCTATATACAGTCATTTTAGAATTCATGGACTGAAGCGGTTAAGAATTAATTTTACAAAACTTTTATTGTAAAAGTTTATATACTGTTCATAGTTGTAATATTTGTATCTGTGGCTGTGAGGAAAAAATGCCAAAAGTTCAAAAAAAATTTACGTTTATGCATTAATTGAATTGTATTATTTACAGCAGAAATATGCATGAAAACAATTTTTATAGATGCAATAAAATAATTCAGTTTAATCGAAATTTAATAAGAAGAACTGTATACAGATAAGGTTAATACAGTTAATTTTTCTAATGCAGAATCTATGCGTTCAATGAAATAGTTATTCAAGAAATAGTTATATAGAAAAAGTTATATAAAAAAGATAAGATATAGAGAAGAATTGATTGAGGACTTTCTGTAGACTTACTTTTTTTTTATAAACGCAATGATGCATCTGGAAAATGCAGAGGCAACATTTTTTAAAAATTGAATTATATATCTTTTTATACATTGATCGATACAGCTCGATATTCTTTGTAAAAAATGTATATTAAAAAATTATTAATTTACGAGATATTTTAATTTTAAGTTTGTGAAATCTATCATATGAAAGATAAGGAAGAACAAGAAAAATGTTCTTTCGTATTCATACTGTTTTTGTCTTTCGTGCAAAAATTTCATAAAATTAAAATTCCTAAACTAATAATTTTTTGACACACGTAAGTTAATATATTTTTTTATAGAGAATGTAGAGCTATATTTACGATTAATGGATAAAGAAATATATGATTTTATGTAAAAAAAAGTTGCATGTGCATTTTCCAAGTGCATCGTTGTGTTTATAAAAAAAAGTAAAGCTGTAGGAAAGTAGATCGTCTCATGTCAATCAACTTTTCTGTACCATTTATCGTTCTTGAGGTATAATTCGTCTCAATTACAAGAACAACTTTGTCATGATACTCACAATCAGAGAATCCCCGAGCTTATGGTGCAATCGGTCAAAAAGTGATTTTATTTTATATGCAAAAGTAAGTTGAATGAAACACAAAAGTGATATTTTTTTTCATTTAAAATTTCGTTATTGAGGAAATCGAGCAGTGAATGTTAAGAGGGAAAATTTTCTCTTGAATAATTTATCTGCAGATCCAGTTCAACCCAATTCGAAATTACTCAAATTCTAATACACGTAATTGTCAAATTTTCTCGAAATCGGGGTTTTAGATGAAGAACACGTCATTCTTTTGTTTTTATTTATCTTTGCATAAATATCCTACAAACGATCCTCGATAGTTTAGAGATACTCTATATAAAATATTTGTTTATTCTTACTTGTACAAAAATAGGAAACGCTCTTTGTACGAAACGAATTAAATATATTTTTAAATTATTTATAGTCACAAAATTAAAAAAGTACAAATTAAAAATTTTAATCACACATAATAAGATATAGGAATGATTTAACATACATGGTGAATAATATCGATCTTTTCACGTTATTAAATTCACTCTATGAAAAAATGTTTCAGATAAGATGATTAGAAGAAAGTATGATTAATTTAATAAGCTTTTTTGTAGGTGAACGTGTCAAGAATAAATTCTGTTTTTATGAATCTTCAGTGTATCTTGTTTTAGCATTAATGGTAAAATATACCGTGGCAAAATGGTAAAATGTCGTTTCGATGAAAAACTTCCGTGTTTAATCGTTAACTTCCACGTGACTCACATGAATGGAGAACAGACCATCATGCCAAATCATTTTTTCCTTTCTGTCTCATCTTCGCGCAGGATAGTAGTTTCTCCATACAAATGAAGTGGTCAAGAGATGGTATTACCTGGGATGCCCCTCTACCACTCGCACGAATCCACAGAAACATTAGACTGACAGTACTTTAGGTAGATACACGTGAACTATCAGTTGGTGAAGATCATATTCACGTAGTTTATTGAAGTTAGAGTCAGATTGTAATCTTGATCTGTCAACAATTATCGAGATTCGTTTGTGAATGTAGAGGAATTTTGATGGAATCTTATAAACGATTGTGACGTGAAATAACTTTCTGTAAGATGAAGTGCATATAACAGCTCGTGAATGCAATACCTTCCGGATCGATTGATAAACGATGCAATATTGTTGAATATTTAAAGTATTTTTTCAGCATTGAAGAAGTGTGATTTGTAGAATTTGGTAGAATTAATATAATAGTTTGATGTGCCTGAAGTCGAGCCAAATTTCGCGCGATCATATTTTGTGCTTGGAAGAATTCCTTTGACAATTTAAATTCGATGGTGAAGTTAATGTTACTTGGTGCTGCTAATTCAAGTAGATTTTAAGAAATATATAAATAATTGATGGTAAATAGAAAAATTGGTGAAATCTACAGGATGTTTAAAAAAACTATAAAATATAAAATATAATTTTGATAATTAAATCTATAAAATCTAATTTTGATTAGATTTTATATCTGTAAAATATAATTTTGATAATTAAGAAATCTTATATACAAAAATCTTGTTTGAGATTTATTTTTTTGAATTGTAAATAATTAATAATTTTTATGCTAAAAATATATTTAACAACTGCGTAGAATAATAGATTAATCGATGAATCTTTCTCTTTATTTATTATTACTCACATTTCATATTTCCCTGCAAGAAGTAATAAAATAGAGCAAAATATCATTCGATTCATTGATCAGTGTATTTCTAGCCTCAAACAATATTTTTTTACTTTTCTTCTCATTGTCTCGCTTTCTTCTTTCTTAACATTCTACATGATGGATTAATGTTTAAGCAAGACAAATAAATCTAGTTTTGAAAGAGTTGAAAAGTTGACAAACTTATGCTTGTAGCATAGAGGAAAATTGTGATTAGTCGCGCGAGAAAAATGATGATACGAACCGGTTTTTCTCTGATTACGATAATAACGTGTAAAACTGCGACTTTCGATCTTTAATAGAGGTTATCGCTTGCTGATGTATGTAAATATTGCCGAATTTTTATTGCAATAGTTTCAATTTCTTTGAATCTTTTCCAAGTTGGAGGAAACGTATTAAGTACAGTGTTAATATAAAACAGATAGCACGAAGACGTTCTCTGCTTGTTCAACTAAATTTTTCTTTTCATCTTTTTTTGTTTAATTTATCGTCTATTTTTTTTCTACAAAGTCCTTTCTTCACCAAAGTTGTTCCATTATTTCTGTCATTGAAAATCATCCTATTATTTCTATCACTGAAACTGCTTCCTTTATTTTTATCAGTTTCTTATATTTAACTCTTTCTATAATCTGAGTATATGTTTTTATATAATCTAGTGGTTTAAGAAAAATTTCACTGGTAAATTCTTTTTCTCGAAACAAATATTTTCATTCTAAAATTTTCATTTTAAAGACTTGACTTAACAAACTGGTTTCTATCATGTAATAAGGATCTCATTAAGCAATCCAAAATTGTTTGAAAGCCTAAAACAGTGAAAATATTAGACGATTAAGACGATTAATCTTTTTTACAGATAGCACAGTAATACGATAATATATGCTCACAAAGGTTTAAATCTGTAGACTGAATCCTAACAAACCATTCGATTTAGCAAATGGCACAGAGAGATATATTATATTGAACAAATATTAATATTAATACTATTATAATGTTAATACATAATTAATTCTATCAGTTCATTAATAGTTTTATATTATATCATTATCATTAACTTTCAAATAGGATACGAAACTTTAATTAAAAAAAAATAAATTTTAGTATTCTATTAATTTAATAATATTTATAACATGTTGCAGAGTTTCAAGATGACCAGTGTCATCATCAAGGCTGTTTTGTTGTTGCATCTTTTCCAATTGATAGCTGGCCAATCACCGTGTTCTAACTATTTTCAATATGTTCAGGATGACGCTTCAGATAAACTTATCGGTTACATTCAGATACCATCACCACCAAAAGGAGTTGACTTGCGATTAAGTGTCACTTTAAGTATTGCTGATGCATTGCCTTCGGTAAATAGATTCATGTTTGTGAATATTTTATTCATATTTGCGAATATTTTTTGATTTCATTAAATAATCGAGACTTAATGTACAAGGTATTCTAGAATTTAACAGACAAACTTTGTCAGTATTTTATGAGTATAGTCAAGCAAAGAATGTTATATGTGTGTTACATGCATAATTTAATCGATTAATTAATTATTATTTACTTCATTAGTGTATGTATTATTTTTAATCTTATTATTTATTTAATTTATTTAATAATTTCAACTACTTATCAATCGTTTACTAAAACGTAATAAAAATACAAGAAGCAAAGAAAATAATACTTTGATCATCACCAACGTTTCACACCATTAAATTTTATATGTAATAATTTAAATAAATATATGTAGGCTTTATTAATATGAATTTAAAGATGAAATGACAAGATGAAAGGGACATCAAAATGTGCTTTGTAAGTTGATAAATTCAATTTTTAATCGTTAATATTTTCAAATGGAGAACTAATAGTTATGTTGATTATATAATTCTTACACTAATATAACATTTTTTATTGTTACCATAGAACATACTGACAAAATTGAATTTGTTATTCAATTTCTTTTGCATGTTTTTTCTTTTTTAAATAAAATTATATATTATCTTAATTTCATTTTATTCTTATAAATTGTATTGACTTAGAAAAAATATTTTTCGAAAACTAAGAATTTCAATCATTGTTTAAATTCTTCGATATAATACTGAAGTAATTTATTATTCGTACGAACGATGTAATACACGTCAGAAATGAAGAAGTGTTCAATTCAGAATTGGTTTTAAAATTAGTTTCTGTCGTAGAAAACATTTGCAGTTAAAAACTTAAATCTATTTCAACAAATGTATAGCATTCATTGCGATAATGAATAGTTAAGAATAGGTGTGAGTTTTTCTGTTGAATGAAGTATTCATTACTTTTCTTTGAAATTTGTAAGATTATATATCATGATAAATTTGAAGCTCGAGATATCCTGTTATATAATAATGTTAATGAGCTTTGAATCATTACCAACATGTACTTCCTCATTTGCATTATTCAGAATTTTATTTACAGATCTATCGAACATTTAACGTCAGCTCGTTGAATTTTCCTAGATTCACAAAAATTACATGAATATTATAATACGCTTATTTGATTAACACTTATTGTTTCAAACAAAAGCGGGGAAAAATATTTTTTAATTAAAGTTTTTACACCATTTTATATATTGAAAAAGAATAGACACTAAAAAGCATTACATGTGTTTTAGAAATATGTTGGTCGATTAGAGTTAGCACGATCGAAAGAGCAATCGATGAATGCAGTTAATGAAGGCAGATCGTTGACATATAAAGTCTATTTTCCTCTTCCTTATCCGATACCGTCCTTAACCAGATTGTGGTTCAATGATCAAATCATCTGCTCTGGTCCACATGGTATGTACATTTTTTTTCAAAGATAAAGTATGATATTTTTCATTCTCTTCAAGAATAATGTTATGTAAAAGATGCCACGAAATATTATCATTATTTTCTTTTTTTTTTATTGTTAATTTCAAGTTTAAAAGATTTAATCATTTCAAATTGTCTGCATTCATTGGTATGCTAAATGAATCTAAAAACTGATCAAATTACCAAATTACCATTTCGTGATCCAATTGGAGTATATCTTTATATTTTTCCTTTTTATTGTAATAATTAAATTAATTTTGATTTAAATACCAAGTTTTCTTTTTCTATTTAACATAGTTTCCCAGACAATTGACAGAGTTCAATCAATTTGATTTAACTAAAATAACCTGTTGAAAAAATCTGTTAGAAATAATTTATTAACTGTTTATAATAATTCTAGCAACTGGACCAGTTGTCACCACCATTATGTTGAACCACACGTTGTTCCCACCTCATCCTCTCCGTGTCTTAACGCAACCACCTACAAACACAAATCCATTTCCATCAACTAGACTTGAATTTCCACCTGAATTTCCACCTGAATTTCCACCCTTGCGAACAAGGTCGAACGTGTCAAACATTACACCCGCGCCAGCAAGTAATCAAGAAAGTGATCTGGTGTGTGGTCGAAGCAGTAACAACAAGCAGATAAATCCTCTCATAGTTAATGGCGAAAGAACGTATCGCAACCAGTGGCCTTGGCTGGCAGCAATTTTTATCGCCAAACTCGAGTTTGAATTCCAATGCGCAGGGACGTTAATCTCGAATAACCATATCATTACAGGTTTGTGAATTTTTATACAATTGAAAGCAGAGACTATCAGAATGGAAAGTCATAGGATAACAATTATTTTTTTTCTTTTTAATCTAAAATGTTTTTGGTTGCAAATAACGATTATCGATTTTAAGAAAAATTTTTTCGTTGCGAAAATTATTATCGACGAGAGAAATTTATTTCGGTTTTCTTTCTTTGTTAATTTTCACGAGATCCACATCAGAAAGAACGGTTTTGAAAATATTTTAATGTGGTTGCGGAAGATTATTTCGGTTGAATGCAATACTTTACACTTTTATAAATGTAACTGAAATATAGTTTTCATCAATAACTATTATAAGCGATCGAAATAGAATTTTTATCGGCAATGATTATCGACGATGAGAAAAATTTTCGGTCATTTATAATTGTTGTTTACTTATAATTGTAACCAAAATGTTTAATTTTTTAATTATGTAGCTTTTCGAAAATTTTTCCTTATATTATAAAAAAAAATATCATCAAATTTCAATTACTGATTTTTTCCATAAGAATTTTTGTGATAACTGTTATTTTTTGAAATATTTAACTTCAAAATCTATATGGAATTCGATTTATGTAGGGTACATAAAAATTATACGACACGATCACCATAACGACGAACGAATCGATTTTATCAACCATAATTTCACTTAAAAAAATAGATGACCTTTATCCTTCATGCATTCATTTGCACAAAAATTAATATTATTCAACTTTCGTTTGATATATTTTCTCATACAGTAATCATTAATTTTCGAATAGTCCTAAATCGTAAAATTATTAAATGCTCTTTAAAACATTTCATGTCAGATATTTTATTTTTCATTTGGACGTTAATAATACATTATTTATTTTATATTTAATTATGAAATATAAATATATTATTAATAAAGATCATATAAGAGCTAATGAAATTTTAAGAAAGTTTTTCAAATTTTAGAAAAGAGAACGAATCATTTGTGACAAGTTTAGTCGTCGCAACAAGTAGAATACGATGTGAATATAAATCAAAGTTTGATCTTGAAATTTAAGATTAACTTTGCAGCTCTTCTTGCCCACCGATTCGAAAGTGTAGAATTGACGTATAATTTTTATACATTCCGTACTTTTTTTAGACTTTACTTTGTTCAATAAGCTTTCAATTTCTTCCGTTTAATTTTTGAGAAAGATGAGAAATATACCAACGGATTTAGTAAAATAAAGAATTTATTATAAATGACGAAGAAAATGTATAAATGCATTGCATTTCAAATTAACTTGAGCGAAAGGTAGAGCGATTACTTAAAAAAAAAAAAAAAAAAAA